TTTGCCCACATCCCTTGGCCCAAGAAAAAGAAAAAACAGCAAAGTAGACTTGTAATGATTTACTCGTCGTAATATCGTATGGTCAAACGATAATATAAATAACAGACATACAAATAATAACGACCAGAATTAAGATACAACAAAAAGAACAATTAAAAATCAAATTGCTTATGAACTTTTTGCGCGTCTACCGCCGGCGGAAAGACTTTTTTAAAATTTTAATAATTTTTTGTACATTTTCTACGCGTTTTTCTATTTTTTTATATACATTTTTTTCATGCGAAACACATGGTTCACCAAAAAAAAGTGCAAATTGTTCGCACGGGGATTTTTTGAGATACTAAAAGACTGAGGCACTGCCTAAATTACAAGCCCAGCTACCCGTTACCTAAGAAAATAAGCCCTGGTGGCTGAAGCACAGTGCAATCGTGGCATAGCGTAAAGCTTCCATTGGCCCACCGTATGGCCGGAAGTGAAGAACATCCACGATAGCAATGATGCTTCTGCACCAACCGTGAAAAGAAAAGTCATTTTGGGGTTCACCGCGACAAACGGGACCTTCCATTGGCCCACCGTATGGCCGGAAGTTAAGAAAGCTCGATAAACCCAAAAATGACACATCGATTCAAAACGCAGCGAATACAAAAAAGAGTGACTAACAATTACAAATAATACATAAAAAAATAAGAAAATTTGAACCCGAAATCCTTGAGACTAAACCCACGTAGTTGACATCTTGAGTGTTGAGCAAATGGATTGATCTTGATTTGATAGAGCAGCGACATCATCACAGTAGACCAGGCGTCGGAAGACGGAAAGTTTAGACAGCCGAGAATCCGAATAAGCTAGCGTTGGCTTGGATGGCTTTGAATCTTCTGTAGGTAGACAGAATAGAAGGTTGTAATAATAGAATATATTTACAGAAAATGTTGATACAGAAGTTGTTGGCCGATCATCGAGGTATTCTTGCAATCCAGAAGTAATTGACAGATCAGAATAGTCGGTAGTAAGTAGATGATATCACTTGGAAGGCCATAGAGAAGTAAGCGAGTTAGGTTAAGAAGCCCGCTTAAGGGCACATGTAATAGTTTTGAAGAAGTTACAAAAGCTCATTACATAAGATAGAAAAGCCCATTGAGCAAATCCACGGCAAAAGCCGGGATATGCCACAGACAACCAAAAACGGCGTGCCTGACTGATCGAGCCGGGTCCTTTTATATGACGGGAGGCGGGGCGACCGCGACGCGACTGCACGCGACCTTTTTCGAATTGCGTTTCGTCTTTTCATACGTAAAATTTACGGATTTCGAAGTTTTTCGCATAAATTCGAATATTTAAAAATGGTTTTTCGAGTTTATTCGTATTTCAGAGTTTTTGTATTCTTTGGTAGTTAATTAGTGAAAACACTATTAATGATCAGACTATGAAAGAATCGATGGGTGTATGACAAGCTGATACATAACTTCTCTTTAATTGCTATAACTTGATGCTGTTGAAGAAACATATTTCTTTCCTGCATGTATAATTCAGTTTTTTCTGTCTTGGAGTCCTCTAAAGTGGACAAAGGCTTTAGTTGAAATTGTATGTTTTTTCCCTGACTGTCTCTTGCAAAAGGTGAATCAACAGCTGTATTTACGGATTGATGACACATTTTCATTAGCCATATTTAGAAATTATGAAACTCAAAAATAACTGAATGATTCATCGTCTTTATCCGTACAGTCGACGTTTATAGACCTTTAACTATGATAGAAAAGCTGCTCTTTGAGCTGTTTTTGTTTTTGAAATTTACCTGAACAAGTTGCGTACAATGTTTCTTTCTGATCATCAATCCCCCGCTTAATCTTCATGTTTTGAGAGGAATGTTCGTTGATCAAATCTAATTGCTACCCATAGTAATTATGAATTATACATATTATTTCCCTTAAATGGTCAAAGTATATATTTTGATGTTTTCCTTGTCATTAGGCAGGTTCTTGATCCTTTTTCCTGCGTTCAATTTCGAAGGTTTTCGTCTCCAACGCTAGGATTGCGTAGACTTTCGAATAGATGTCTCTGACATGTGTTAATCGGTCGCCGGGAGAAAGGCGACAACGGGACTGGCGCGAGAGCATTAACGATCGTTTGTATAGTAGTAATGCTTAGTTTCAGTTCCCTCTCGCGAATCTTAACAAAGATTATTTCTCTAACAAAATCAACACAGTAGAGATCAATGCAGATCTATTCTGCATGTTCTTAACCAAAGCTCACTTATTTACTAAAACATGCGCATTCAGAAAGAATGTTAGAATGAGTAAAATTTTCGTCCAAAGTTATGTATCAGACCATTCTGTTTTCCACCCGAGTCCATCCTCTATTGTATGCTTAAGACTGATTGAATAATGATTCGATCTTCACGGATTGAGCAAACTACTTTATCTCACACCAAGCTCTACTCAAGTGGATGATGACTGTCACCCGTTTTCTGGGTCAGAGATCAGTATTTTTGAATTTTTTTTGCATTTTACTGTCGATTTTGTACTTCTCAGAGAAAAGGTCATTCATTACATTAAGAAGATTCTATCCCTTTGACAGTTTGTGCGAACCCTGGTTTCGTCAAAGGTAATGAAACAGATCGAAGAGGTCGTTTTCGAAAACTCACACAAAAGACAGCAAACTGTTGATTAAATGCTTATTGAATGAGAGGATGCTGATGTAGAGTATTTCCCTTGCTTAGGTTTCATCATCACTTGAATCATCTAATAATTCTCTCGAAAAAAGATGAAACTTTATCACATTTGTTTGTTATCTACCTTTGTTTACGTTTTCTAGACAATTCTTATCTTCATAAGCTGACTTTTTTTGTCGATTGATTTGTTCACTATTGGTGAATTTTCGGAGAAAAAACTCACAGGAGCTTTGTAAAGTCGACAAATTACTTGTCGACTATTGAACCGTGAGATCTTTACGACATGATGGAACGCCATCTGGACCATCTGTTTACCACAGATGGCTCTGTCATGACCCCTCTTCATGCTTCTAACCCGCAAGCACAGGTGTTTGTGTGAAGATAGCGGGGGGGGGGGACCTAGTGGGACCACTTTCGTAGCGGGGGCTGCCTGGGGATTAGGCTGGATGAGTGTAAAACCTCGCTCAGACACAATGTCGCGTAGAAAAACGTCAATTTTCGAAAAGGGGACCCGTTAACACTTCAATGCAAGAACTATCTCTGCGTACATTTCATCATACTGATGATGATTCTTCCGAGTGCATAGTTTATTGGAGTTGTTATTACTCACGTCTATTAAGCAGATGTACAATACTACTCAGACAGATGCTAACTTTTTTATTTCTTCTGTTGGTCGACAACACGGTTAGTGTGGCACGTGCTTCCCTTGCTCAAAAATATTTTGCTTATGGATAGTACCCCAAAAATCCGTTTTCTGCTCCAAAAAAACTGATACTGAGGGTGTATTCATTCGCACTCTTATCTATGGAAAGGATGACGTACACGAAAGTTTATGTATATCGAAGAAAGAACATTCCAAACTGCCCTTTCTGCGCTCTCCTCTCCCTTCCAGGTCATTTCGCTCTTAAGCTCAAATTATTCAATTTATCTTTAACATTCTCACATGACTAACATATGTGTGTATTATCTTGGGAATGTTCTCAATAGTTCCCCCCTACTGATCCCGATAAGACTCAAGAAACCATTCATTTCACAAGAAAAACAGATTAACGTTCCCAAATAGAAAATGCGCACATGATGTCTAAATAAAGACTACAAAGATATCGCAAATGCTACAATACCAAGGACGGTTTTCAATCAACCAATAGCAAATTATAATCCTTTTATAGAAAATCATTTGTTCTTTAGTTACCTCTTTTATTAGATAATAGTTATGTCGTTAACTAGGCAGTGTCATTCGATGCGGATCAGCGGCACACATGAGACGATTCGCATATGTGCCATAATTTCTTTATACTACATGACGATCACATAGGTTACTTGATCCAAAAGACATTTGATATTTGAATTCACCTCACAGATCTATTGACGAATTATCGATTGAAAGACACTCAATAAGACTTGAGGTGATGCAATAGACCTCAGATATAGTCCTACCCCAAACATAGATTTACAATCGCCAGTAAGCATTATCTGAAGCATGAACCTGACAATGCGAAATTACTCGAAAACATTTTGGGGAAGCGAAATTTAAACAAAATGAAATAATATCAACCGACCGCCACGTCTGTTATGGAAAAAATGAACAGAGGACGCGAACAACTCGCGGTTATCAAATATTTAGAAAACTTGAACATAACGAAAAACGATCGATAATTGCTTTATGTAGTATACAGAGAGAGAATGGTAAGGAGAAATCACTCTAGAAAAAAAATTATGTAAACCTTTAACACATAATTAAAAAAAGAAGTTTCGTCAGCTTGAATCATTTTTTCAGTGGAATGTTCAACTGAACGGAACAAGAATGACTGAACAAGTTACACTTTCCAATACGTGTTGTCTTATAGAAACCGGTTTGTCATGATGAGCTCTATAGGTTTCTCTTAACCTCTTTCAAATATTTTTAAACTTATTCATTCAAACTTCATGTTTAATCCGAACAATAAATCAACGATGTCGTGTCATTTGAGATTGTTTTGAGCATGTTATCCTTAAGTCGTCCAACTTAATGTGAGAATGATAGTGTTCTAAACCAGTCCAATGATGATGAGCAAAGCAGTGTTGATCACGAACTGGATTCTTTCCATTATTTTTCAAAAACAATGCTTTTCAAGTTGTCATTCAGCTGTATGGAAAACACCTGAGAATTCAACTCCTTCCAATGAATTAGAATATTCTTCTATGAAGATATCACTGATCGAAAATCTTGTCTAACTAACACGTAAAGAATGAGGCTGTCAGAAGTTAGTAGACAGCTTTGCAGATTTATTCAACTTTCTCATATTTCCGGTTTGAAAACGAATAGAAATCCGAAATATCAATATAAATAAATTCACTCTACGGGAGAGAAAAAAATTTGCGTGAGAGCTGGTGACTGGAAAAGAGATTGCTCAGTTGAAACGAGAAAACCTGTTACTCTGAACTGACCATGTTTCTCGAGGTGGCACATGAATTTTTTGGTTGAAACCTTATTTCTCTTAAATTCTCCTTCTTCCAGATTCTTACTCTTGATAGAAAACACTGCCGTGTGTTTGTTTCGATGTTATTCTGGCTCGTGGGCGATTGACAACTGGCATCTCCAATGGAACACGTGATGGCCTACTCAACGAGAAGATAGAAAGAACTACCTTCAGACCAGTTGGCAACAGTCATGATCAAGATGACGATGTACAAAAATCGGAAACCTCCCACACGTTTTTAACCTTTACCCATGACACGTGATTCAAACGCTCGAGCAAATTGAAGCAAGTTGACAGCAATACATATGGAAACTTGTTGAATGTAACAAAAAGGAATGGCAAAACACGTTTGAAAGTAGGGATTGACTTCAAATCCATGGGCAAAGACAATCGGCTGGAGTTTCAACTGCAATTTTCGTACTTCGAAACTTGAACAAAATGAACCACTGAATATATTCAAAAAAGTGAACAAAGAATCATTCTCTATGATTAGTGTAAATGCTGTCAATCTATGATCACTTGTTATCGCAACCCGCATTTTTCCCGGTACTTAAGACTACAGTTATCCTATGAACGATGTAGTTGAAGCTTCGACTCTGTCGTGTTACTTATTAATAGAGTGAAAGAAATGGTTCTCACAATTGAACGTTCTATCATCTTTACAAAACGGACAAAGAGTGAAAGAGAAAATAAATGATAAGATGACATCACTTGTTTCTCGAACAACAACCTATGTTCACAGTCTTAATACATGCTTATCAACGCAAAACTAAATTTAGACTTTTTTTCAATAGAAAGATGTAACAAGTGTGTTAACCACCTTTGTTATGGGTAGAATGACTAACCTATTGCTTTCGAAAGCTTCATGATCGATTGAGAACCATTTGAATCATATTAGCGCTGTACAAGGACCATTCAACTTGCTTTCATTATGACGGAGGCATCATATTTGTCTCAACATCTCTTTCAGCGAATGATGAAATGATATGAAAGAAAACAAGTAGAATAAATGACTTATAATCTCTGTTCGTCGACAATTTTTGATCTCACAACTAATTTCCTAAAAATAACTGCACGACTCTTTGTACTGTTATAGTTATTGGTTTTCAGATAATGGCCTCACTGTACTTATTTTCAACTTCCTCCCTATGACGTAGTTTCTCTCTAAAAAACAAACTACATTACCTCATTCTTATATTATAATCATATGATTCACACTATCAAATTTCTCCGTCAACCATCCACCTTTTATGTCTGATTAAGTCTTCTTCAGTCTACAGTCGTTTCGTTTTTGTTTACCTCAATTCTTTATCAAAGCCAGACAGACGACTCACTGTCTCAAGCAAAGTCTTACCACAGTGATAAAAACTTTGAACAATGATCATTACAGTTAAGTTTTAACTGTTGTATGCCTATAAAAATACATAGACTATCTGATCATTACAAATATTCATGTTTGATACTTCTCAGTCGAATGATGCATAGACATTCGAGACAGAGTTATCCAAGATGATAATCAACTTTTCAAACCACGCGCGATACAGTCTGAGAGTAGTGAAACGAATCAAGTCAGCTAAAGTTGAAATGAATATTGGCCTTCTTTAAAAGCTACATTACAGAGCTTCATTTAGAAAAAAACAATAGGGCAATGTGCAGCTGACGCCTATCATACTTTTCTCTCAAATATTTTTAAATTTTATATGAAGAGAAATATACAGAGCCCGTTTGACATACAAATCTCGTGAGGCGCACGAGATACATGATTGGCTTACGTCCAATTCCAAACTCCGTTATAAACTTTATATACACTGCGAAGAACAGAAGCAATAAACTCATTGTGAGGGATATACAGGCACTCTCTGGGGATCAACGAAAAAAAACGTAAATGAAAACGGAAACTTCAATTAACGATTTCACATAACACTCAGTTGACAACTCATAGATATTTAAATTTAATATGTATTCGTACAAATGTGCAGATCGGTTGTCCACAATTGCTGTTCGGAGTTCGGGCAGTCATTAATCTCCTAAAGTTTTTTTTCTAGATATATTGACAAGATTAACGGTTTTTCCAACTCTTGTGCGAGTGTGAAAGGTCAACTGAGACTTATAGTTTATATACAAGTCTGGATTTGTTTATTTGTACAGATTTGTATTTGTGGTAAACAAAGAGGGACAAATAGTTACATATTGTTGCCACTGATATACATCTTATTGGAAATAAAGCACAATTTTCGGAACGAAGTTTCTCATTGTCAATCAGAACACAAAGTGACCGCCATTCAAATAATAAAAAAATAGTGTGTCCTAATGAAAGAACAAAGCAAACCGAATGGTCACTCCAACGTATTCTACCCTTTCTCGGAAGTTAGAACAATAACAGCTTGACACACGCATTGTTCATTATATTGCATGGAGCAATATGACATACTGTACTGTCTCATTCTTTTAATGATGAAACTTGGGAGAAACGAAAATGACAACTCTCTCATAGTGTTGATTGACATTTGTGTTTGTTGTTCATACTCTTATTAGTGAATAATTAGAGGATTAAGATGTATCCATCATCTGACAATACATTCCTTAGATGCCCTGCTGACATTTTCTATCTTGTTACCATGACGGTGATGACATCCCGTTGTTCTTGTGTCCTTCTCCTTATGAAGTGTTAACTACTGGCAATGTTCTCTAACACCAATAATCAAAATCTAATGAGGGATCTTAGAACATATGTCTATGTATATATTTATATCTATCCACTCACATATATATGTATATATCTAACAAATAAATAAATTGCTACATTTCCATAAATTATGATGCTTAACATTCCAAAAATCGTCAATCTGTGTTCAAATCCCATTCACCTAGAAGTGAAGCATTATCGGATTATTCTCAGGAAAATACTCAAGACTTTCGAAAAATCTATTTTTGTAGGACTTCTTTGATTTTCAGATATTTCATCTGAGAACAACAGAAGGGAGGGAGAACTCATGCAGTTATGTTGTATTCCTAATAAGTCTAATCATTCATAATAATTAATATCAAAACTACAAACCTACTTCTAAACAACTGTTAAGCTTCAACTTCTAGCTTCATACTATGAAAACCTGCTCAGAACATAAGAAACCTTCAATCTGTGCTTTATGATCGCTTGAAGTTTATAAGAGAGAGAAAACCTTCCACAATCTTTGCATTGATACCATAGATCACCAAAACATCATTTGAAATGAAAAACTTCGCATTACCTTCTCGATGTTGTTCGTCGACGCAGTGAAAAGAAAAATCATTTTATGAATTATTAAAAACAAACAATTTTCTACACGGATCTAAAGAAACTATCGGTGCAAATTCTCATGATTCATAAAAATATAAAAGATCATAGGAAAATCAACAATAATAACGGATGACACAGGTTAATTCATATTAAACATCTCCTGAAGTCTACCTCTGCTATCAGGATTTCCAACAAGCCAAGCAAAAGCCAACAGTACACCAGTAGCAGCACCTGATTTGGGATATGAAAAATGTAGAAAGCCTGAACTATACCTATTCCACTGGCTTTCAAACCATGAGTACTTCTGTAGATAGCTCCTGTTAATGCTCCAGCACCCAAACCATTTAAATCATCTTCTGCTCTTACTGATCGTAGTCCGATTTCAAGAGCGGAATATAAAAACACAACAGCACCTAAATTTCAAAATTTATAACAATTTGAAAGCATTCAAAGTTTTTCCAGAAGAAAAAATATCAAACTAACATACCGGCAGGTTGGGCGAATCCAGATCCATGTTTAACAGTAGCATTAACCATTCTAGTCATCCACGGCTTTCCTGACTGAGAATAAACGAATATAAGATTGATTTCATTATTGGAAATGAACCATTTTCTGAGTTTCTGGATTGAAAAACTCGCCGAAAGTTCCTCTGGCACATCCAACTCCAAAACCACCAGCAACGGCCCAGCCAATATGGCCTAACGCAAATTCGAATTTTCCTTTACCTAAAGAAGGATATACAACTTGATCACCGGGCTTAATATCTTAATTAACCTGTTACACCTCCATCCGGCATTATATATTGCGGTGTAGAAGAAACAAAAATTGAAGGATCCATCTGAGTGTGACTATGATTATATAATTCAGCAAAAAATAGTTACCTGTAAATATGGTGCCATTTGCCTAGTTACTGGTACTCCAGCATGCTTTATCTGATCCAAAGCTAAAACAGGAGTGGAGAATGGGTCGCTTCGTTCAGATGAGCTAGGCTTAAGGAAATCAATTACGTCAATTTTAATTTTTCTAGTAAACCATAACAGGAACTGTGGAACTGAACTCGAGCCCTCCGCTCATATCTATTGGAGTGCTAGGAGTCTCTAATGTTGATGAAGAAGTTGGTTCGTTCGTACTGGACGATCCACCCCATAGCCAGGACATTTTTTACCTTCAAGTTACATCATTAAAAATGAATAGAAGTAAATGACATTAATAAGAGTAAGAAGCGAATTATCAGATTCAATAAAATGTTCGAAACTCTCAGGTGTTCAACAAAACTCATGAAACACCATATTCAAATTACTTTGGAGTATAAAATTGTATAATATCAGTCTCAAGACATAAGCCAGTGTTGAATTTTTAAAATCGTTGCAGGACCATTAGCGCGGTTCAGTGCAAAAAATTCTGGTTCTTCAACGTTCTTCGAATGCTAGCTTTAAGTTAACATTGATAACAGCTTTTTATTTCTTCTGCATTGTCTTTGCTCATGACCGTGTTAAAATCAAAATGCTTAATTTGTTTTTCATTAATAACTATTCTTACTCTTTCATTTTTTGCATGTAACTGTCTTTTGACTTAATCGCTTTTCAGGTAACAAACGTTCAAAACTTCATTAGAAAGTTAAAATGAAAATTTGGACATCTGAACATGTATTTGAGTGAGCATTTTCACAATTTCTTCTTGATTTTTTTGTAATCTAGACATGATTGGCAAACAGTAGTAAATGCTGCGTGGCGGAAGTATCCGAACCCTTGTAATAGCGGTGTTACGGCTATGGATATTGTCTCCCAAAAAGTAGAAGAAGGTAATAGACAGTTTTGTTCGCATAGACCAAAAGATAGCTTTTTTTAGGTGTTATCCATTCTGAAAGAGTCATCCAGTCACATTTTCACATTCCTTCCTGGGCTACGAAGGTAACTAATAGATTATTTTCAAATTTTACTATTTCAATATAGTTAACTGGTTTTTCTGGTACTCAATATTCCCATGAATACAGCACCATCGATCCCCAAAAGAAGACAATGTCATTAACCACTCGAAATGTAAATGCATTCTTCTAAACTTAACTTAGCGTCATATTACAGTTAAATGGCGGTTCATTTCTTAGGTGTGATGAAAAACTGACTTATCAGCCTCACTCTTCCGACCCCAGCAAGTATTTTATCACTGTATGACTCATCTGAAATTTTTTTTCTTTTGCAGGACTATCTTGATGCAAGAGGCAATCGTTACTATAACTTTACCCGCGTTTGCTGACTATTGTGAGAAAACGTTTCTTAATGTTTATTCCACAAACGCCAACAAGGTTTTTGCTTACTCATTTGTTATTCTTACTCACTTCTAACTTCCAGGGAAGAAAAGGAATTGAATGGGTTATTGATCATCTAAAAAGAGAATACAATGAAATTTCTGATAAGTTCAGTTCTGAAGTACATGGAATGAGCGAAAAAGTCCGGCATGCCTGGAATGCCACTTCCCGCTAGGATTCAGTTCCCCGTTCAAATACCGTAGAGTAGGTTCTAATTCTTCCAATGCCGTTTGGACTGTGAATATATCAATTTGGAATCCTTACAACATTTCTTCGGGGAAAATTTTAGTCACTCGGTTTATCTGAGGATTTTAGTCACAGCTGAAGTTTTCTCTGCAAAATCAGCGACGTTTCCTCCACCACGGGTCTCTAGTTATGTACTTTTGATATTTCTTCTTTGTTTTTTCTTGTTAATTTTTGATTTCTTCCCCCACGAAGGCCTCTGTTGTTCATTCATGTTTTACTACTAGCCAAGAATTGTCATCTGCATACTTGTCTAAGCTCACGAGAACTGTGAGACAAACAGTGTGAAACTAATTTTTACAAATGAAATTTGAGAAAATAAACTTTTAATTTTTCGAATTTTCCAAATTCAACAAACTCAATAACAACTTAATTTCGCACTACTTGGTCATACAAGTCAAAGACACCTTCAGTAGCTTTCGTCTCCATATGGAAGGGAGAGATCTCTCCATCTCCTTTCATCCTAAGTTTTTTATACATTTCTCCACCTTTTTTGGATAGAGTGAACCGCTGTAAGCCTTTAAAAGCTGTGCAAACATCACAGGTAACATGACCATTCATTTTCCTCATCTGTAAGAAATGATACGTACGCTAGATATTGTATAATCACCTTTAAGATTCTAGGTAGGTTGTTATCGATATCACGACTTCCTTTTTCTATGATCATAAACGACATTTTTCCAGTTTCAGTGCCATCTCGAGTGTGAGATTTCTGTTTTCCATCTGCGCGTAAAGTTCTCCATCTTATAGGGAAGGAACAAGAGCTTGAACAGTAACATTTGATCCAGCTGAAATTTTTGAAGTTACCTTTTTTGTTGCATTGGGCATCCAAGATCATGAGGACAAGGTGCGAAAATGGAGGCATGAGGCAAAACTGTAGGTATATCAATGGTGGGCAACTAGCAATTCACTTTAACATTGGGAATTTAATGTAAGAAACCTTTTCTCTCAAGATTGAGTATTTTTCGAAGTCACTCAGCTGAAGATTATGCAGGATGTCCTCGATGTCTTTAGTTAGAAGCTGCTTCTCCTGCAATTTGAGAAATAAGAAAAACATTTTTGAATAACTATGCGTACTTTACATATCTGTAGAAGTTCGTTCTGAATAATTTGCACTCCAGATGTCAACAGATAATCTCTCACATCCAGCAGAGCGTTGAAACTATCTTCCAGTGATGACTCAATAAGAACGAGGTATCTGAAGGGAATTTAATTTTTTATTGTCTAATAACCGCAAGTTACTTATTAGTACGCCTCCACAATGATTCAATAATCTGTCTTCTGCTCTCTGGAGAGCCTATCTCACAGAGCGTGCGATGGCAAATCACTAAATCATAGTTATTTTGTAAGGAAGGCAGCAAGTGCCTTCTGAAAGACACTTTTTTTGAGATCAATGAACCATCACTGCGCTAGAATCGAATAATGATTAGGAGAATGTGGAAACACGATGAACCCTCATTATATCCATTGCCAGTTTCGTCATCTCATCTGATATATCTACAAGGCAGTATTCTTTCAAGGAGGGAAACCGTTCGTTAACGGCCCAAAATCCAGATCCGCACCCTGAACCAAAATCGAGAACAGTTTCAGGAGCGAACTCAGTTGCTTTCAACTCTTCCAACACACGAGAAACTTCGGCATAATTGGGAGCTAATCTAAAAACTTGGTAAAGATACGAGAAACAGTTTCCGTTCACCTAGCCAAAGCATATCTTGCGGCAACATCATATGAATCGAATTCCAATGGCTTCCAGTTGTACCTCGTTTTTTTCAGAAGGCGCTGAACTTTATGCTGGATTTGATATTCCATAGCCTCCAGCTGCAAAGAATACTATATAAGTTTGTATATATTTCATATTACAATTTTCTCGCCAAGAACACCGTCTTCATGAAAACTATCTCGTTGTTCAGACTGTAACTTCTTTCTTATCTGGTCTCGGGCGCTTCGAACTTCATTGGGAGATGCTGGAAACCTGAAAGAGTATACTAAACAGCACAGTCATTGAAAAAAACCTTCTTTGACTGAGCATGTCAGCCATACAATCAGCTTCTGACTGGAGCTGTTTCACAGGCTGTGAACAAGAAACTAATACATTTTTCAGCCCTCGTGTAGCATCATCAGGAAGTACATATTCTTTTCTGCAATCGAATTAGTAACATTATTTGTATTAAAACTTTCCAGCAACTTGAACTTCTGGCTTCTCTTAGTTTGAGATTCATTCTGTAACTGTACAATTGCTCGTTCATTTGTTTGTATATTCAATGAAGTAACATGGGTTTTTCCGTCGCGCTCTTCTCTATGAAACTCCAAAGAGGATTCAGATGTAGCGTGTGTAGATGAATGAATTTTAGACGTAAGATTTATGTAATAACTGCATGACAAGTTTCTACCTAGTTTTATCATCTGAAACACTTATTACTCAAACGTTATTACTCTTAAGAAAAATAACGAGAAAATTCAATGAGTAGCTTCTGCTTCTGAACCATGAAAATGCTTGCTCCATTGTTAACACATACTGCTCCATTGCCAAAATTCAGCGAGGTCAAATTGATATTTTTTGCGTACTGTTAGCTTTTCTGTTTAAATATCCTTAATGCATAAAAACTTGTTTAATTTCCTCTTAGCTAATTTCTGTATGTATTGTTTCATTTTCTCTTATTAATCTCTTGAACTGCTCGATTCATTACTTCAAAAATCTCAGTATGTTATTTGACTTCGACATTCATGTTTGTTGTTCTGACATATCAAGTACTCCGTACTTATCCGAGTTTGATCAAACCTGATGAATGTTAATTCAAAACAAGTAAGTGTAATTGAGTTTCCTTGGCTAATAGTAAACTTGTAAACCTAATCTCTAATCGCGAGTAGATAGCAACTGAATCTTTCACAGAATCTATTCTCGTATCTTTAACCATATCGAACTGCTGTTTTAAATGCCTTTCTCTTTTCCTTCCGAGACTGAAATTCAAATCCTTATACTCCTATTCTCTCAGTTTCATTGGACGCTCCACACTCAGTATGTGATCAGAACGACCGCCTATGTAGAGACGCGCCGCGTCCAAGCGGCAACCTTTGGTAAAATCAAAGGGCCATATAGTAGTATTCATTTTCTTGATTGATATTCACCTTTTCGTTACATTTTTCTTGACTTATTAACATGTTTTCAAATAGTTTCATGACACTATTAAAATGCTCATATCAGCTCTCTGTCATACTCTAATACATGAGATATGCAGAAGCATTAGTAATCTTCTGGTTTAGAAAATCCAAAAAAGCAGCCTAACATAGAATAGCATTTCCTACTTCGACTGAGATTTTGTTTTTATGAGCTGGTTGGTGTTCCCTCTTCCATTACACGCTTAACAGCTGTTCCCTTCGGCGATTCTTTATATCTTAGAATATATTTAGCTATTGTCTAGACTCTTCCCTCTTTATGAATGAGCAAATGTATTCGTAAAAGTACGATCTCTCATGCAAAATGTGCGAACTATTATTGTATGTAACACGTAATTCTGTTTGAATGGCTAAGACCGAAATACAATACCTAGTTTCCTGTAAGTCAGGAACTTAGTGAAATGAGGGTCTGGTATAACTATCTCATGTCAATTCTTTGTTTACATTTGATCGTCTTTGCGATATCTTTCTATTTGCCGAATATCCAGATGTTCATTGGAATGCGCACTAGGTTACCACCTCTAACTGCTGTATTTACTACCGCGTTATTGCACACCTTCATTGTATTTACTGTATCATCCAGCATGATTTACGACTCCTTTTTAATCATTCAGTTTGTTTTCAACTTTTAGTTCATTTCTTTCAACTAACAAGATTAGCTTCTCAGCTGTTTCACCATCTGTTCTTTTTATTCTCCATAATTTCATTCATCGAATATCCTTTTTTTACTTGGTTTTCAAGGATGTTCAGTTATATATATCTGTCCTTATAGAGAGCGCCACTTTTTTTCTGTTGTCGGTTCATGGATGCACTCAGTGATGATGACCATGATTTCGATGATGATGTCTTGCCTGGACCTTCCAGAGAATACCCTGAAGAGGAGGTGAGACGCTCTCAATTATTCTCCATATTCGTTTGTTTTAGATGACTGTGGATGATGCCATATGTACTTTACTAGCTTCCCTTCATCTGGATCAAAATAGGAATATAATTCCGTCAGACCAGGATGACGATAACCTTCGAATAGTGCACGAGCGTATTCAGAATGTGATTCACAGAGAGTTGGATGATTCTAGGTGAATTTTTCTTTCTCGAGTATATTTATCTGTATCTCTGTTTCAGGCGCCGTCGTTTGAGAAAAGCCTTGCAACCTTCCAACTGTATCAGAGAACAAGTTTATTATTTGAGGCGAATCATCCCTACTTCAAACCCTTCTCAATCTTACTTCCGACGTCTTTCTGCAGCTTTGAGCTTAATTGTTAGTGAATCATTTGATGAAGAATATAGGAAAGTTGCGATACTACTAGGTATTATTGAGTTTTTTTTCCTTTTAATGAAATATTACGCAGGTTTGGTTGACGCTCTCGCTGAGACTCTCGTTCTCGAGGTGTTTGTGTTTGGAACAAATCCTCGTTTACCCGAGCATCGTTCTATTCGTAAACTAGTGGCAAATGCTTTAACAAATTTAACATTTGGTCATGTAACGAGTAAAAGACGACTGTGCACTTATCCGGATTTTTTAAACACAGTTATCCGGTTGATCAATGAAGCCCGAAATTTAGCTCAGGTATGTTGCCTGTTTTTGTTTACTCCTTATTGTTGTGTGATCATCTGCTCCACACTGTCATTGTCGTTCTTCCTTCATTCTCGATCTATTAGTTGTAAAATTAAGTAGATGAGAAGAAGGTGGAAGACGGCATCGCGCGCATAAAGCTAGCAGTTGTTGACGCATAAGACGCATATATCTGTTTTGCTCTGTCCTCAAAGTTAAATGATGATATTGAGGAATAGTAAGCAGTTGTTGATATCAAGTTGTAAAAAGAGTTTATGAGCATTACTAGAAGTTTCTTCTATAACTCTAGAAGGCCATTTATGGGATTATCTTCCCAATATGCAAGTCCGATACTTTGCCTCTTCTTCAGTATCGTAAAATGAGGTCGCTAGGGAATATGCCTCATAAGTAAAGCGTAAAGTTTTCGACTTCATGTCAAGCTCCTTATCATTTTCCAATTTTTTTCGAGAACGATGAGACTAAACACTGGGGCTCAGTTTACATATGCAAATATCATTTAAATCATAAAGTAATTAGGTTTAAGCTCACAATTTTCAGCAGGGAAATCAATCTTTAGTTCTAGTTGAATGATTATTTAAAACACATTCTGATAACACTTTTATAAATCATTCGAGTATATTTTGATACAATGAAATTCTAAGAAGACGCAAAGAATGGTTGAATCTGATTTAAAACCTTTCTAGGTTTATGCTGGTCTTATTCGAAACTTGAGCTGGTTAGCGGATAGTGAAATGAGTGCTGCACTATCTCCATGTGTCAAAGCATTGGTTAGAGCTGCTGTTTATGGATGTCAGCATAAGGATGAAGGTAAGCTTCAGTGTTGGATTTATCATTAAGTTTTGAAAAATGTAGGTTGCGTTAGAGCGACACTATCAGCGTTGTGGAATCTAGCATCTCATTCTATGGAGAATAAGCGTGCTATCTGCGATGAGCCTGGGTGTTTGCATATGTTGGCATCATTACTAACACCAAATACCAACCAAACCGTATGTATTAAACTATCTTTACATTTTAATATATAATTTTTCAAGGTCATAGTAGAAAGTGCTAGTGGGATTTTGAAATATGCTTCCGTTTATTTGTCCACCACATCATCCCACCTAGAAGAGCGAACTTTGCTTGTGAACGGGCTCATTCAATTGCTTGTCAGCGCTTCGTTCACCATTTCATGTAATGCTCTTGGAGCACTAAGTAACTTGATTGCAAAGGATCCTCACTTACAGGTTTAAAAACAGATGAAGATGTTTCATGATTATTATGTATATATAGGGATTTATACGCTCAAATGGTAGTGCTATGCACCAATTAAACTCGTTAAGAGATTCAGCACGTGATGATATTCGGGCTGCAGTTAAAAGCGTATTGAATCATTTGAATCAACCTGCTGGATATATCAGATCGAACGGTACGGATTTGAGTATTGATATTTATGTATATTGTTCCACAGAAATGTCAACTTCTATGGGTGTCGGATATGATGTTTTTCGGGATTCTGGTCGACTCTTACCTTTGCGATCTATGAGAGCTTCTCCGGGAGCGAATAATCTGAGTTCATTCACTTCTCCGCGAAGCATGGAACAGCGCTCCAGTAGTTTGCCGAGGCATTTTGTGCGTGGTGGCTCAGTCGCTGTTCATGGGTTGGGTTTCAACCATTTGAGTGGTTTGATGATATTCTTGCAGATCGACTCACGCTTCGCCTTCTCATTATCTCTCCAACGTTATCAACCAAACATGTGAGGAGCATGATAGGATAATGATGCAGCAGGTAAATGATGATGAGATTAGACACGTACGTAATATTGTGAATTATATATACATAAAAATCCTATTTTTAGAATAATATATTGAACGATGATGATGTGGAGGATAATGAGTTCCCTGATGAGTTCGAAAGAGATACAATGAGTGCTACTTGTAATAGAAGTAATGCTAGCCGTCAATCTTTGGAAACAGAACATACGGTATCTTTGAGTTAGAATAGCAAAAATTCTTATAATTGTTCAGAACCAGTCAGGCTGGGCGAGCATGTTGGACACCGCGAATAATAGTGCTCGTCTATCTCCTGTTTCTCCTTCAGATTTACCTGATTCTCCGACCCATTATACTTTAATTAGGCAACAAAACTTGATGAACGCTGGCAAAGGGTTAGATAACGATTCATCTGCGCCGCTCCGAATCAACGTTATGTCGTCGGACGCTGGAGGAAAGTCAAACTTCTCAAGTAGTGATGCTGCTACAGCAGTTGTCGATGATCAGCCAACACCAACTTTCGCTAACTGTCGCATATCACAAATTGCACCAGTGAAAACAAAAGAAACATTGAAGAACTCAGGTTGTGTTTAGGGAAATCTCATGTCAACTTGTAATTTCTTACAGGCTTTTTTGAGTCTTTCGAGGGCGAGAACGAATCTGATTATGCTGTGTTAGAGGGCAATTCTGAGTTACTGGATCGATCAATCGAAGCAGCTTATCCCCAGCCAAACACACGTCTTAGCTATAAAGCATCTCCCACTCATGGAAACGGTTTTCATTTAACTAACGGCATGCTTTCCGGTACATCTTCTCCTAGGAAATCAACTGATGGTTCAGGTTATTTTCACAAGAATCCTCTTTATTAACAAGATTTTCTTAAGCCGTTGATAGAGAGAAGCTGTTGAACGAGTGCATTTTGTCGGCAATGCCAGGAGCAGGAGGGAGTCCTGCATTTTCTTCAAAAAACGAGATGGGCGGACCAACTTTAGTGACCCGTTTGGTCCGCCATCATCAAACCGGTCGCCTTCAAGATTCTAACTTTGTCGATGAAAATAGCGGAGAGGCTAGTGCCAAGGAATCATCTCTGAGAAATAGCCTGATTAATCAGGATTCTGTCAGGTAATGAATAAATTAACCTTCATCACAAATGATAGTATTAGCTCGGAAGAGTCGGATGATTTTTTTTGTAAGAACGATTTCGACGATCTAGATACAAGTCTTCCGTTAGATTGTTTGGAAGAACCTATGACCATTGATTGCTCGTCCCTGCGGTATTATTTTTTAGTTACGCGGTTTTTTTTAAATGAATATTATAGGTCTGATTCTTCTTCCGGAGATAGCAAGACAAAGTCTCTTGAGTCTACTTCAGCTGCGAGAAAGACAAGGCTCCCCATGCCCACCTCTAAAGTTTTACAATCCTCTAATTGTAGATCGGTAGAGTTCTATACATTGTTGTTCTAATCATACAGTTTCCCAAATTTTAGGCCCAACTTTCTGTGAAACCGAAAATTGGTCCAAAACCATTGCATTCCCAAGCAGTCGTGCCTCCTTTCAATTATCAAAAGCCTATGGTACAAAATTTTTGATTTGCTTTCAAATAAATACGTTTTCCAGCATGTTAATGATGAGTCTTCAAGTGAATCGACTAAGTCAGGAAATATGCACAGTAATACTATGCTAGTTACAACAGTTTGAACAGTTTTATAAAATTAATCAACTACTTTGTCATTTTTTGTGCACTTTTGTTATACTCGCTGAACCAGCCACCATGTACCTACTTTGTCTTCTAAACCATACGAGTCTGAGATTTTAGTAATTCGATAAAATGTTTATGCAAGGTTACTCAATTATATACAAGTTCAGTTACATCTCCATTGTTCTACTTCAAAAATAGCCAGACTTATGTAGCAAGGAGGCAGTTAGTAATAATATATGAATATACATAAGAAAATATTAGCGATAGTACGACGATAGATAAACAGGGAGTGAATTCTATGAGCTCAATCTCCCATCGTAAGACTATTAGTTCTGGTTTACACTTCCATATTCTCATCAGGTTGATGCAATTGATGGTCTGTCATTGTAGAGGTTTCATCTGTCATTGTAGAGGTTTCATCTGCCTTTGCTGTAGCTTCAGAGGGTGTACTAACTCCTTTTGGAGTGCCCACTACCATTCGGAAGGTTGCTATAAACTCATGAATAAACTCATCAAGAATGAACATCGCTTAAACAACCTAAATTGCAAGGTGGCTTCACAGTAGGAACAGCTCTTCTAGGTCCTTGAAACTTCTGACGTTGTAGTCTTCTTTCTGTTGCGGTGGTTATTTCTCTACGGTTTTCTGCTCTATCAGATAGAGTAACATTGCCTAGCTGAAGATATGTATATATATAGAATGATATTTAGACCGAAGCTGTAAGCCCTAACCATGTTTGATTTCCGCACAGAGCTTTTAGGGCTAGTCATGTTTGGAGTTATTCGCATAGATTCATCTCCTTTAGTCATAGATGGTGGTAACGGAGTTTTGAATCCAGTTAGATCTTGAGTAGAGTTATTTTATGGCTCGTACGTTTTTGAGAAAAAAAACCTTTCCTTACAGGAGTTGAATGAATCATACTGTTAAGTATTGCAGCAGGTGGTGCTATGAGTTTCGTTATTTTTTCCACAGCGAGGTTTTGTACAGTGGTGGAGTCAATGAGACCTAAGAAAATGGTTTTCTGATTAAGAAAATATAATGCATACCTTGCTCTTCATTTCGTCTTTGTTTCATTAATTGAATTTGACTTGTGAGAGCTGCTACATCTTCTTTTGCAATTTTCTCGGCATTCTCTGCTCTTCTTAAATTAGCCTTAGACAAAAAGTTAAAGTAGATAGTTACATGCATAAAGTTACCTTAACGAGATTTCTATCGTCTAGTAAAAGGTTTCTCTCTTTCAGTAATTCCGCATTCTGTCTCTTTGAAAACTCTAGTTCCGCCCTTATAAGCACGATTAGTAGAAAATAAAAAAAACCTTACTTTAAACTTGAAAACTGAGCTCTAAGCATAGAGTCGATAGACGGTCCTTTCAGACCTTCTACCATTCTGAGCTTCTCATTATTCAAGGATTGAATTCGGGATTCCGATGCATCTATTTTGTTACGAGCTCTCATCAATTCGACTCTCATATCTTCGCATTGGCAGCGCACGACAGTCTGAAAGAAGGAATCAAAATACTCTAGTTTTTCTTGCTCATTCTTACGGCAGCTCCTGTCCTACGAAGAGCCAAAAGTCGAGCTTCCTCCAGTTCATTTGTTAAATTATAATTTTCCTTCTTCAAGCCTTCACATTGATTGAACAGCTTCTTCAAATCAGCTTCCAGAACCTTTCTCTCATGAACAAACTTAATAATTATAAATAAATATTTTGGAAAACTTGATTAATTTTACCTCTCCAAACATAGAGTTTCCTTTCGAAGCAAATGGTAGATTGTTTTCCGTTTCACATAGCTTAGCCTCAAGTTCAGCCTTCTCTTCTCTCATCTCCTACAAAAAGCAGTTGTGATTAAAGAGAAAGTATACAACAAACCTTTAAAGATCGTTGCAGTTCCTTTATTTCTTCATAGAGATCTTCCACCAACCTTTTAGTTTGGCTATGTTCTTCTTCAGAATAACGCAGTTTTTCTATACAACAACTTAGATCTATTTTGGTATCATCAAGCTCTTCTCTGAGTCGAATCTTGAAGCAAAGGTTTGAAATTTATAGTTAAAATGGCTACTTACATACTCCTCCTCATCTTCAATGTTCCTTAAAGGAGGAGGCGTGGGTGTTCGTATAGGTCTATAGATTTCTTGTACATCACTCTGCTCTTTCAATGCATCTTCCAACTGTTTACATTTTGTTTTTAGATGTACTATCTGATCATTGGCGTCATCGAACTAGAAATGATTATCAAAAATACATTTCAAAGGTTTGTTACCTGGCCACGTAAATATACTATTTTGCTTTCATATGCTGATGTGTCTTTCGATGTTTTGAGTAGCTCCGAATTACGCTCGAGCAACTTTCTGTTTTCCTCTTCAAGCTCTACAAGAGTTTCATCCCTATTTCTTATAGCCGAGTCCTTCCGGGCTATGTCCTGCATATATGCTCTTTAGTTATCAAATAGGAAGGAACAAACCAATTTCAACTGACGGTTCTCTCCATCAAGTTCAATGAGCTTATTCGTCACAGCTTCTGGTAAGTCCATAAGTAAATAAATATTATGTCATAGAATTTAAGAAATAATCCGGCTTCACAGATGCTTCAATGTAAATCAAGCCATTCAACTATAAATTCAAATATTTTAAACTCGCGCTTAGTGAATCACGACATATTGCGTACAAACTAAATTGCCAGACTTTTCAAGCTGACCTCATGTATGGGTTCTTTAGCATTATGGTACTTTCTTTTAGTTTGGTTAAAACCCATCAACTCGTTTGGTCGTGAAATTTAAAATGAGAGCATGAGGTAATTTATTTTGTTGTCTTCACGAAGCATTGTTTTTGTTTGTTCAAGGTATAGATGATGTATTTTAGAGTTGAGTTGAGTTTCGTTAAGTTAGATAAAGCAACTCTTAAATATATTTTATGTGAATATTAGATCATCTTAATAATATAATTATAATGTAAGGAATGACCAGTCATATGAAGGCGAAGTAAATACTTTTCGACGAAATTAATAGTTCTTCAGTAACTTCTAAGATATTATCACAAACTGATTAGGGAAGAAAAATGCAATAAGTTAAAGCAATAGCTTGTATGCTTGAAAAATAGGGTGGCTATATCAGTATCCTTCACCGTTGAGATACTGATTGGCTTTTCTTTGCGAGTATATCTGCATAGATTAAGTCGTCGGCTGGCGAAGTCAAATACCTTGAAAAAATTATTTTACTCCATAGTGGTAAGACACTCTACCTCGCACAATCCAGTCGCGCTTCCAATGTTCGCAAGTCCGTATATAGTTGTTCTCCTTTGAGCCAGGAGTGAGCTAAGCATTGTTCTATTGTCAAGCGTAAGTCGAGCTGAAATTTCATACAGAATAATTGAAATAACAGTATTATGAGATATGTTGCATAAAACGCGGTTGTCTGATAAACTAACTTCAACTCTGAGCAAGCGCTGGATCAAATCAATAGCTAGTGGAGATATATCGTTCCAAGGATCAGTTGGGAACATAAAATCCGCATTCTGTATTTGAGAAGCAATCTCAAAAGAATAGCTTAACTGTTTGATTGCATTTTTTTAAACTAACTTCATCTCCTTCATTGAACGGGAATGTCCCGGATAAAGTCACATAAATAATAACTCCTACAGACCACATATCAAGCGACTTGTTATAGCCTGAAGAGTAATTTATGTAAGTTTGGAAGATAAATTTCACCTCTTTTCTGTAAGACTTCAGGTGGAAGATAAGCTGGTGTTCCCACTATTGTTTTTCGAAACTGTGCTTCTGGAATGAATCTAAAAGGAATATTGGTTGGTTATAAAGCATTGCTTGTACCTGGCGTATCCAAAATCGCAAATTTTTGTCTGTGGAAAACTTGTATTAATTTCAGATAATAGGACGTTTTCAGGTTTCAAATCACAGTGAGCTATGCCCTGGTCATGCAAATATTTCAAAGCTGACAATATCTGTACAATAAGGAATTTCGTGATTCTTTCATTAAGTCTACCCGTCGCCTGGAGATTTTCGGTAAAATTAATTGCAATCATTTATTGCCTAACCTGACTCAAAATCATTTCTAGCATATCTCCGCTAAGCTTCTCCATTACGACAAATATTTTGTCTTTTGTTTCGCACATGAATTCGAGACGCACTATACCAGCATGACAGGTACGTTGAAGTATAGCTACTTCAGTTCTCATTGAATCAACTCCAGATCCTTTTTTGGCGAAACGTTCTTTTGATATTACCTACAATCGTTTGCGTGTGCCTTGAGGTTATACAACACTTACTTTCACAGCTACTTCTTTCCCTGAACTTCGGTGAACTGCGCTATAAACAGTACCAAATTGGCCGGAACCTAATGGCCGCTCGCTGAGAACCTGTTAGAAGTTTTACATTGTGGAACCGCTATTCGAATTTTTCAGCTCTGTTAAGCTCTCATTACCTGATATAGCGCAGAAAAATCAAGTGCTGGTTCCATATTTGGTGGATCGTTGTATGAAACAGGAGGTTGTAGAGCTTCCTTCAAGGCCTGGAAAACAGTTATTGATTGATCATTCTCAACAGAACCAAAGAACCACTCACTTGAAACCATAGTTGTGTGTTACTGGGCGGTCTTATGCTCAAATAGCGTGGAAGCTTTTTCGGAGGCTCAGTGGAATATGCATGTAAGTTTTCCCCCACACAGAAGACTTGATTGGAAGTAGTTCTTATCTCAAAGCAGTGAGGAGGATATCTTCAATTATTATCTTATTAATTCCAATGATTGTAGAAGCTCACTTTGATAAGATTGGCGGACCTGTGTGCTCAGTTATTGCCAAAATCTCGTGTAAAGGAATAATTCTATATGATCTGCTCGGATTAACTCCAACGCCTGGAAAATTGAGATACGGGTTTCAAAGTGTGTATGAGAGTGCCTTCGTTGTATTCATGATACATGTTGATAGAATTATCAGCAAGAATCCAATAATGTTTCAAACGACGTTCGGGATCTGATAATTCAAAATGAATCATCCATCCCTCCACTTTTGGTTGGCTCGTTGCTCTTGAAGATGCTTGTCCTGACGGGTTTTAGGTTAGTTAGTGAGCCTACTAAACGGAAACACCTGGGAGTCGGAAAAGCGGTATATTATCATTCGTACACGAATCATCTTCCATAGCATGCTCCAATGACTACAAAAAGGGGAATGTAATTATCAAATTATTTAAACAAACATCAGTTTTAGGAATCGACCCCTGAGTGTCTGCGATACTCATTCGTGATATGGAGTGGTCGGCCAACGTACAGTTGTTCAGCAATTCTTTGGCACATTTTTTATGTACATTGACCTGCAAATTTTATGAATTGCAGAATTCGTGAAGAAATTGAAATGTCATGAACCCACTCCGCAATCACGGCATTTCAGACCCTGCTTGACGATTCCAACCAACAGGTTGTTACATATTTTACATAAAGTAAAATTCTTATAATTATGTTCAGCTAAAGTGTGAGGTAATCCGCCAGATGATGTTTCTGAAGAAGAATTAGTTAAGAAATTCTAAGTTTCTTGCAGGGATTACTGGCTAACTCAGCAGAACCCAGGCCTACTTGCGATGATGATGGATGAACAGCTGCATTAGAAACGCAGTTATTTCTTGGAGCATTATAGCATCGTTTATGAAAATTGCATCTGAATTTTTTAAAATTCTTCAAAAATTTCAGTCTTCGAAGATTAAATTTCCTCAAATAATACAAGTTCTCACCGGCAATGTAAACAACGAACTCCTTGTTTGATAACGCCGGCCAACATCTCCCCGCAGTAATCACAGAATGTTGGAACAAGGTAAGTGTTACCCTAAATGAAGCATTGAAATAGCCGAAGAAATGAATGAATAGAATAAACCTCAACAACATGAGGCTTAGTTGGTCCTTCGTTCTTATCAGCTACAATTATTTCTACAACACATCCGTTATCCTCAAATAGTAAGTTTGTTATTCTCGGAAAAAAAGGTTTAAAACTACTAATTGAGATACGGAGGCGATATGCTGAAGCATGACTGGAGAATTGTAATTATGTCGGAACAGATGAAGGTTTATGATATCAGCGGAACTCTGGTTTCCATATTTGTTTACTAGAGCTCGAGCACGATTACGTAAAGATTCAAATATCTTAATTATAGATGATCCTTTCTTTTCAATGGGTGAAAAACGGTACCTCTGGTTCATCAGATCGGATCAAAACAATATTTTCTCGGTTATTTCCATACTGCAAGGTTACTTGGATACGTGGGTCAGCTCGTCCAGCACCAAACATTTGTAACTCTGAGAAGCTGAGTGATGAACGTGTGTCAGAAGATCAAGGACGTAAAGTTTTAAATGTTTTCGAAGAAAGGTAAAAAAATCACAATCATAAAATGGAATCAGATGAGTCATAACTTGACCAATAATGGAGTTAAACTGTTTCGGAGAAAAGAAATGAAGAGATTTCTTGAGGTCAGTGAAAACAGTGAATACAACGAATTCAGAGTACTGTTGGCAATAAATAGTTCTAAATTGAGTTGAAACATTGATTAAACGATGTGTTTATGAACATGATATTTGAGAGAGACGTTTTCAGTTAATCCACATCTATAAAAAAAAGGTGGCTGACGTCAACCATTATGATAGAACCCGCCATAGATGATGAACAACTCAGCATACGCGAAATTTGATTGGCATTATTCGCTAGTAGGATTACCAAATATGGGAGGTGAGAAGAATCAGCAAGTACATGGAAAAGAATCAATAGAAGATCGTGTTGGCACGTAAACTAGATAGTGAGATGACAATGACGATGATTTGGAGCTAGTGGTCATCTGGTTCTCCTTTTCTCTTCAAGCAACCTAACGAAATAAGGCTAAGATACGAGAAAAGGAAGGAGATAAAGAGATATATCATGCAATTCAAGAAAGGAGAGAAAGAAAGGGTAAGTAACTAATAAGAGAGAGTGAGAGAGAAGTGAAGGAGTGGAAGAACAGCGATTTGATCAAACAGACTGATTGTTCTGTAGAACTTAATCGATCGACAGTTTAGAGAGTAGTCTAACTTCCGTTGAAACAAAAAAGTCAAAACAGAAGACCAAAACATTCCTCTATTGGATTAACAGACAAAGTAGTAACGCATAACTCTTTCAGGTATCGTTTAACGCATTAGACGTGGTACTAAGAAGTCGTTGACAAAAACTTTGCTGAAAGATATGATCCTTGAAAGGTAAGAGAAGGATTGTTCGTTATGAAGGGTCCCAAGTTTTATGTTAAGCCCCAGAAGCAAAAATTAATCGATTCGCGTTGATTGTCAAACATACAGGACTAGTTTTTTGAGGCACATTGGCCAGGAGAGAAGGAAGCAAGAGGTAGAACTAGATAAAAAGAGGCAGTGGCGATTGCGCAGATATTTACGAGAGAAGAGAATGAAACAAGAAAAGATGGAGAGAGAAAAAGAAAAACTAAGCGAAAACACTAGATTTATGAAGAGAGAACAATTTTTGAGGGAAATTACAAATGAATGCACGGAACGGAACGAGGAGTGCCGTCTTGAGACCTCGAAGCGACCGAAACTCATCAACGGTGTCATCTTTACATCTTAGAGAGCAATCACTGGACACAATTTCAACTTTATTTGGTCTTTCTCTGGCCCATTTCCATTACGTAACATTTGTCTTTTTTATTAAGAAGAAGAAAAAGTACGAAAGAAACAAAGAAACAACAAATGAGATTATATCCATAGTTCATGTGATTATAAAGGCTGAGTGTCTAAAACTAAGACATTTGATTATCGTTCAAAACAAGAAATGCAATCTTTATCACATTATTTTTCGTCCTTCCTCTCTCCATTTGTTTAACATGAAAATGGGTTCGATCAAGTTAGGGGATTGTAAATCAGATATTTTCGTTCATCATCTAAATATTGCTTTATCCCTTATCTCATTAAAGGATCGAACAAAATTCGAAGAATTGTATTAAAGGTTAAACCAATGATATGACCAAGAAATATGGAAAAAATAATTGAGTGTGGAATACCATGTTTCAGAAAACTGTAGTTGTTCTTATAGAATGTCCGTATCATATATTCGGTCAATTCCAAAATGCCTGTATATCATATTGATTAAGAACTTCATTTCATTCTACCAGAAATCTTAATCTAACAAATCGTTGAAGAATTGGACGAACTTCGTATGCTTTCAGAGAGAGATGACATATCATCAAAATATGTTACTATTCTGTTCATTTCACTTCTACGATGTTATGAGTTGTTCAGAAAGTCGAAGAACAGTATTAGAAAAGATAATAGATGAAAACTGTCCGATTCAATCAGGACTGCCAAGTGTTCGCTTATAAATCAGTTGGTATACAAAAACGGCTCAGTTTTCGACAGGAGAACACATTCACTGAAACACATGTTTATGTCAGATCTCTTGTTGCTTCTTAAAGAAGACCACGATCAATAACCGACTTTGATAAACCAATGTTTATAACTGAACAAACCCATTCGTTCGGAGATATAAAGCTGGATGATACAAAACATGACTTCTGATATCCAAACCTTAACAAACGTTAGTCAATCTATAGAAGGATTGAGAGATGGACTAATCGCATTTTA